TACTTGGACTATTTCTTCGGCCGGAATTGGCCGTGTCTTAACCAAAGCTTAGGTGATGGGGGGAGAAGGGGAAACACTGGGAGTCGTCACCCCCGTAGTTTGACTGGAGATAACATGAATCTCTCGTTCCCCTTTCTTAGCCAGCTTTTTGACCCGTTTGGCCGGCCGATGAGCTTCGATGGCCGGCTCGGCCTCTTGATGAGGCCGTTTGCTCAACATGGCCTGCACAGCAATCTTAGCCCTCTTAGAAACGACCGATTTTTTCTCAACCGCAACCGCAGCAACCACTTCCACCTTTTTCAATGACCGACTGCCTGGGTAAGTAAAAGCAAATCAGCAAAGCCGATCAGTAGTTCAAAATTGAAGGAAAAAGGTAGAAATAACTGTTACCTTGGGGTTGGGGGGCAAGAGCCTTCTTAGGTCGATCACCGAAGATTTTGTTCAGAACGATTTCGACTGGAACTCCAAAAAATTGTTGGGTATACTTTTCCCACCAATCACCAAAAGTGTCAGTGCAAAGAGGTTCTGGAGTGACTGGTCGAAGATGGAATTTTTGGCACCGCTGCTGGAACTTTCTTTTGGCATCGTTGCATTCCTTCTCTGAAGAGCCAGGTTTGCGTCCGCGGATTAGGACGAACCGTGAGGAGAGAATGGGGACTGGGCAACCTTGGAGGTAACCAAGCTGCTGAGCGAGGAAGTTGGGATGATACACTTCCCAACTCACTTGGCGACCCTCACAGCCGAAAGGCAGGTCGCGGGCAAGCACGAAAGACCCCCAGGATTGACGAAGATCAGCATCTTCGTCCGTGCCCCACGCTGATGTAGGAAGTCTGATCGACGAATGGTATTTGCAATGACGGCAGATCAAGAACTCGTCATCAGAAAGGTCGTCAAGAGTGAAAAAGTATCTGAACACTTCTTCGGCTTAGTGAGAGGGGATGGGCCGAAAAGCCAGCTAAGGGCCGAGCGCTTTCTTGGGTGAGAAATCAGCAATCGTTAGCCGAAGAGGAGCAAAGTAAACCTGCAGCCTGAGTTGGAAGACCTAGAGGGGACCATTCCGCTGCGGATCGATCTTATCTAGGGTCGTTTTGGCCAAGCAGCGTAGGAGATGGGCGAGAATGGCCGGGCTGAGTGCTAGAGTGTGACCGCTAGCTAGGGCTTCGGCCACTGGCATATTCTCGACCAGACACTTATTAGATTTGGTACAACAAATAAATTTGTTGTACCAATAGAAGAGGAAAGCCTCGTGTTCTCCTTCTCGCAGAACCTCTTCTCATCGGCCGGCAAAATGGAGATAGAGGGTGTTATAGTTGAAGAAGTTCTTGTAAAGCTTGTGAACCTCTTCTTTCAAGGGTGTTTGGCCTTCACTGCTTAGCACCTCAAGGGCTCGTTTGTCGAAGAGCGCCCTCAAGTTAAGGTTTGACGGGTACCCAGAGAGGGCAGCGTCGATTGGGATTCCAGTCGGGGAAGTCCCCAAGATAGCAGTAAGATCAAGGATGGTGGGGCCAATGGGGCCGAGAGGGAGGACCATGGTGTTGGTGGCCGAACACCAGAAGCATAAGGCCGCTAGGAGGAGCTCATTGTCCAGGATGACCTCTATAGACGAGAGGTGAATGGCGTCGTAGATGCCGAGGGCTTTCCATTGCTCGCCGAAGAGCTTTTCCATTCATACAACCCAGGCTGCTGAGGTTGTAGTGGTCGAGGGCCAAGAGCCTTGATGCCTTGCCACATCCCACTTCGACCATTCAAACCCTTGTAGCAAGGGTGATAGGCAATGCCCCTAGAGAAGTCCAGTGATGGTTGAGGGTAATGCCGCTTTAAAGAGAGGACCCAAGATTTGATGGGGGGTGCTCATGTCACTTTCGAACCGTATGGTTTTGATCGAACTTCGATCAATAATTTTCTGGCATTGGTCACATTCCTTGGAAAGCTTGGAGATGAAGGAAGCCATTGTAAGGGGGTTTAAAAAATGCGACACTTGAAGATGAAGATCTGGAAGGAGGGGATGCACTAGAGAGCGATGGAAAGAATTTCAGAAAATTTGAAAGCGTAAAGTACAAATGAGAGAATTTCGGTATTTATAGAATGGTGGAAGGAAGGGCAATCATTTGAAATTCAAAATGAAGGGTAAAATCGACCGAGAAATTCGCTAATCATTATGAACATTTAGAAAATCCAGTTGAGAAGACCGAGGGTTTCGTGTTTCGGGGGACGCACGATTGCGTGTAGCGGCGAGATTTATGGTGAAAGACATTTTGGCGTCTGCACGATGTTGAATGGTTCGCAGATCAAGGCAACATGGTTGTGTTCAGTAACAAGGTCATGATGGTATGACGGTTCAAGGAGCCGCATGCTTTAAACGTCATTATTAGGGATTAGCCGTATAAAAGGATGCCACGTGGTGTATTGGTTAGCAGGATCAAGATCGTGCAATCGTGCTCAATAAATGCGCCTTGGAAATGGAGTATTTGGATTTTGAGTGTTAATTTCACTTCTTCAAGGTCGAAGCTCGACCAGAGGATTCAGGCTGAGGACCTCAGAAGCGAGGGGGCAATGTTTGGGCCCAAAATATCAGTTTGGGCCGACTATAGAATTATTCTCGGCCCAGAAGGCCTTACGACAGGGTTAGCAGGGATCGTTTAGTTCTGGATCGGTTAGGTCGTGGGCTTCCAAACCTAGGTTGGTTAAGTCATGCTGCATGACGAGTCGAATCCTGGTGCAGTGAGAAGTCTCGGCAAGATTAATAACTCGGAAGTGAATCCGGCTCAATAAAGGACTAGGTTCACAATTATAGTGAAAATAGGACTGGTCGAGTTAGTGTTTGATCAGGAGAAGAAGTCCTAATCCGGGTAGGTTTTTAACTCGACCTTGAAGGTATACGGTGCTATAAATAGAGGAGGCTGTACATCGTTCAGGGCTCTTCCAATTCAACACACAACTGCCCTGCGCAAATTCTCTCAACAACTTTGAGATTTTTATTTTCTCTTTTCGCTGACACATCTTCCATTGGCATCAACAGCACTGTAAAAGCAACCGGTGATATCTTAAGTCGGCATAGATAGCTCTGTCGTCGTAGAATCAGCAGATCTCGCAGCATCTTCCGTTGGCATCAACAGCACTACGGCGAGGACGGTTGGTTACCTATCCAAGTCTCGGTCGAGAAGGATTTCCGAATCCTTATTGATTGAGGTCATCTCGTTAGCCTTCTCGGTGAAGCGAGGTGTTACAACCTACTGAGCTCGGCGCATTGTACGCCGAGTTATTTTATGATTGGATACTCTCAAGTAGGATTTAAAGTTCGGCATTCAGACGGCCGAACCACGTTCACTATTAAGACTCATATTTGCTTTGAGTATTTGTGCCCTTACACTTTGGTGTCGATTCGGCGTGAGTTTACCCTGACGAATACCATCACTGTGACCGAATCCAACGACGACGATTCGTGAACTCCGTAAGAATAGTAGCCTTGTCTTCAGGTTCGAGAACCCAAGAGGCCGAGACATGTTCCTTCCCCGGTCGCAATCGCAAGACGCAGAAGTCAGCCGCGCACCCAACGCAACATCAACAAATTTACTCATCGCCCGAGCTCGGCCGACGAGTTGGCACGCCCCGCATTCATCGAAGGACGTAGTTAGCTTATAGATTACTCGACCTGCGCGCCACGTAGGCTTGGTAGTTTTTAGAGTCAACAACTATTTAGAAAGGCTAAGGATTGATGTTTAGACTAGCATATTAGCAAGTTAATCTAAAAACTCTTCTATTTCCGGGTTTCAAGAGCTTGTTTTAGCTTTATAAATTTCTGGGTTTTGTTGCCTTTTTATTGAAAATGTGTTAACTTTTCTGGGTTAGTATTCTTTTCCTGGGTTTAAAGAGCTTCTTATAGACAGTGAATTTATGGGTTCTATTGCTTTTAGTTTGTGATTACGTTATATTTGTTTTTTGGTTTAATTTAAATGTTTGGGAACTTGTGGTTCTGAATGAAAATGTGGGTTTGGTATTTAGCTCAAAGTCTGTACTTTGCAAGCTCTGGTTTCAAATGCAATCTCTGGTTTTTGAAGAGTTACTGGAGAAGAAAAGCTAAAGCTTCTTCCTTTTCATTAATTTTTCTCTTTTAAAATTTTTTGGTCCAGAACATTTATTTTTTCCTATTTTGCTAACCATGAAGCTCTGTTCCCATATTCTCTCTTTAAGTTATTCATGTTTTAATTTTCTGTAGATCTGTTGTTCGGATCCATTGTTTCGTAAATCTATGGGTTTCATTAATATATTGGTTCTGTAATTTACTATAATTTAAGAACACTTCTAATTTCATTTGTTTGCATTGCTGCTTTTTAAGGATATTATGTCCTAGTTTTTAATTTGCAGAAAAAGTTAATCAAGAAATATTGGGTTTTTCATTAAACAAACAGAAATTGGGTTCATCTGTGCTCTGCTGGGTCCAGTATGCCTACAGTTAATCAACTATTAACACAAAGACCCTCCTTTAATCATTGGCAATTTGGCATTGATGCAAAGTAAAAATTAACAAGTGGCAATCAGACGTGGCTAATTCTTACTGGCCCCTTGTGTCTTAAATCATTTGTTTGGAACATAGTATAAAGGTGGGCAAAGGAGAAGGGCAATTGAAAAGGTTGTGACATAGCTTACTTAATGATACTCAATGAATCTTGCAGCTGCAACTTTCTTTCTTACATACACACACACACATATATCTATTAAAATTGGTGTGATGTTTAGAGAGGCTAAGGATTGATTTGTGAACTGAATTTGTTGTGATGTTTAGATAGGTTAAGTATACATTATATATTTCTATTAAAATTGGTTATGTGGAGCTATTAGAGCATTAGGTGTTTGTGAAAATTCCCCATCAAGTTAGAAACAAGGATATGATGCAAATCTGTACGTGGTGTGTTTTGGTATGTGTGTATGTAGGTATAGTGTATAGGGGTGTTTCATTGAGATGACAGGATGCTTAATATACCTATTTTTTCGATTGTTAGATCGAAGAAGGAAGTTCAATTTATCAAGGATCAAGTTTTGGAGTAGCAGACGCCACGCCACGCCACCTTCGGTTAGAGGTATGGAAATCTCGAACTTGGAATCTGGCTGCTTTCGTGTTGTGCTTTTCTTTGAAAGCTCTGGATTGTATGTATGAAAATGCTATTGCAATGTTTGATGAGTGGGGTTTGTTTTGGTCAGTATTATATTTATTCCTCATGGTTATGCTTTTACTGTTAACTCTTCCAAGCATTGTTTCGGAATGGAATCTATTCGAAACCGTGTTGAAATTATTTTAGTCGTGTTTTGAAGTGAAGCCATTGCTGTTAGAAGGTAACTTGCATTTTTCCAGCAGAATAATGAATAAGATTGCATGCAAAAATACAAAAGTGGATGCGTGGTGAGTAACAAAAGCTACATTCCTGCATCACCTTCTTCACAGTCAGCTGTGGCCGGAGTCTGTGTGCCATATTCTAAAGTTTTGATCTTTTTTGCGTGTTCACTGCTTTGGTTAGTGCTAAACCTTTTACTTTGTCAAGGGAAACAGAGGCATCGCCTTTTCTAGGTTGTGTTCGGTTTCTGTTATTGATTACGAATTTACGTCAATAACAATTAGTCTCAAAGTTTATTGGTTTTCTAGAATGTTTTAATGTAATATTTATTGTCTAAGACTTGAAGTTTAATTTGATTATCGAGCATATATTTGTTGTACTAGCACATGGATATCAAAATAGTATGTTTAAGGTTTAATTTCATATGTTTTGTATATCTTAAAACAAATACATAAATGAAAAAAAAAAAAACTGTTTTCAAGAGTTAAACCAAACAAGTTTTCAAATTTTTAGATTAAAAAATAGTTTTTAAGTTCAATGCCAAACACGTTTTTGAAACCTAAAAAAAATTGTTTCTAAGAGATGTTCTTAAAAGTTAGTTTTAAGAATAATTCAAGTTTTTTAGTAGGATACCAAACAGGCTCACTCATCAGAAATCTTCTCCTGCAAATTAAGGGCTTATTTGGTACTGCCCATTTTATTTTCTCATTCCCTTTTTAAGAAAATTATGTGCACATAAGAGCCTAAAGTTCGGCTCTCACGTTGGTGAGTAAAATAGTGCAATGTACAAAAGATGAGAGCTTAATCTAGAGCTATCATAACTAAAATACCAAAATATCAAAACTCGAAAATCTCCACCTAACAAAACATCTAAAAAACATATTTTCAATGAGATTGAGTATAATCATGACTGCAAGCAGATCTAGCGGGACTGCTACAAAAAATATAAATAAGTTGATTTCCGTAATAAAATATAATTAGTTGATTTTCAGGCGTACCTGTTCCATTGCAGGCACAGTGTCAATAGTGCCACCATCTTGTTTCACACCCATTTAGCTTACAACAGTTTCAAATCCTTCAAATGCAAAATGCCCTGAAACTTGATGAGTAGTACAATTCAACAACGACATTCAAATTTTATTTTTCCAAAGAATAAAAAGATAAACCGGTCCACATAAATCTTTTAGCTTGAAAATCTGCACCCTCAAACCAACCCAATTCAAATGGTGAATTTGTTATAAATGAACACTACGATTTGAGGATCGATCATATACCAGCTTAATAGCCACCTCCCCACTATGTACATTTACATCTAACACCAGAAGAGCAATTTCATTACAAAACACATTAAATTAACACAATGAATAATTTTCTAAGGAAAAAAAAAAGGATATCAGGCACTGATTACCAAACCTAAATAGAGTTCTCCGAAAGACCCACTTCCAATCTTCCTCCCCGGCTTAAACTTCCCAGCAATCACATGCTCCATGATGCAACAATGTCCAATACGATTCGACCCATAGACTCAAACTGGCTTTATTTCACAGCAATTTGTGCAAAATTTTCCCTTCCCAATTAAATCCAGCTGCACGGCATGGTCAACCGGCGAAAATATGCATATCCCCTTCTGATTCATCCACTCTGAAATCTGCAACCTATAACACATTATTACCAAAGCAGGGGAATTTCCAATTACTTATGATACAAACAAACAGATTAACTAACAAAAATCCTAATTCCCTCTTTCATTCACTTTCTTTAACTAAAATTTAATTACTTTGATGCTTCTTTCAAGTTTCTTTCATTTTCTGAGCAACCAAACAGGGGATAACACAAATTGCAAGGTAAGAAAGAAAGATGAAAACATGGAGGGCTTGGGAGAAGAGTTTTCGCTTTTGGAGGTCGTGAATGATGCGCTGAAGCTCGGTGACTCAGACTTTGTTGAATTTGGGGCAAAAAAAAAAGTCAATATACCATGACTTATCATTTTCAATCTATTCAATTCAAAGAGCACATCTCTAATTCAACATATCTAATTCTTATCAGCACATATCCAAATTCCAGTTCAATAAACCACATATCCAAATCAATTCAAACTAAATACCTAATATTCAATCACATATCTAATTCAAACAACATGGCTAACATTCAAGAACATGTCCAATCTTTAAGCAGATTTAGAACACTATAAAATCCTCTTAGTAGCAGAACATAAACATCAAAATCCAACAGGAACACAAAGTAGCATACCATTTTTCTATCTTGTATGCTATTTTCAGGTGGATCTTCCTAACTCGTCCCAAAAAACCATGCATATAGTTCACCTGCAAGCATCATCCCACAACCAAAAATTAGACAGAACCAAGGAATACATAAGGAACCAAGAAATGGGAAAAAAAAATCAACCAACAGAGGAATGAGAAGCAAACACTAGAAAATTTTGAAGAAGCACAATGAAACCCAAAAATTTGAATGATGGTTCTAACAAAGCAAACGGAAAACAAAACAATAAACAATTATTTTCAAATAGTGCATAACCTATTGAATCAGAGGGAAAAACTGAAAACCCATACCCTGCCATACACCCCTCTGTCACTCTCTCTTCATTGACCCTGCGCACTAACCCATTAATTAACCCCAAAAAATGCACGCAGCCATGCTTTCTCCTCTTTCTGTCTATCTCTATTTCCCTATCCATCTCTATCTATAAAATCAGAAATCCCTCAAAACCAGACCTAACATACTAAACAATTAGAAAATCTAAGGCACCATTAAAGAATACAGTTTTAAAAAAGAAACTTATCTTTGGATTTGAGGCATGCAGCGCAAGATCCAACACACCCCATTCTCAGTAAGGTTTGTTGATGACCCATACCCTGTCTCCCTGAAATCCCGACGACCCATATGGTTTTCTCCGACCATACCGATTGTCCCATTTGCAACAACAGTGTTGAGACCCCTACCCCTCCCCCTCGTTCTTATTCCATTGCCATCTGTGTGTGTGTGTGTCTCTCTCTCTCTCTCTCTCTCTCGCAGACCCTCCTTGGAACCCTAATTGAACGATAGCAAATGATACCTACTTGGTGACCCCTTATCTTGCCCAAAACGGAAAGGACAAAATTGCCCTTCATAATAGACCATCCCCACCATCGGATTGTAATCTTAGATGGGCAAAAATGTAATTAAATAATTTGGGTCTCACTGAGGGTTGCCCTTCCCAGCCAAAACCAACACATTTGGGCCTAGCTGAAGGTCGGTCTGCTGACCCAAAACCAACAGAAAGATCAATGGCATGGTTGTAATTAGCTTGAAATTCGGATTAAAACACTGTTCATTTCTACATTGTCAATTTCAAACATTTCTTTATACTAAAGTAATTCTAAGGCTAAATTGAGCATGTGTGAGGTTTAATTACAATATTTGACAAGGAAAACCAAACTCAAAAGTCTTGACTTCACAGCTAGCAACTTGGTATTCACACTTCAAGTCGGCATAATTTGTCAAATTATCAAATAGACGGGTCAAAGGCCTATTCCAACAACACCAATACTATCCACAATTTGTTAATTACCACCTGCACAGTCCGACAGGTGTGGAGTTTTATCACAAAATGCCTCGATATTAGTTAAAGTGGGGTTAGGATATTTAAACTCTTAGTTTCTCTAAGATACGGTTGATGTGAGATATTTTAACACACCCCCTCATGTGGGACCCAATTAGTAAGTCACACATGGGAGATCTACACATTGACAACCATGTGGAGCCAAGGTGACTCACCCTACACATGGGGCCAAGGGACCGAACATCATCATGCGGGGCCAAAGGCTTTTTGGGTTTGATACCATGTTGAATTATCAGAGAGATAGGCCGAAGACCTACATCCAACAACACCGATATTGTCTCCAACTTGTTAATTACCACCTACATAGTCATGTGTGAGGTTTTATCACAACAGGCCTCGGTATTAGTTGGAGTGGGGTTAAGATATTTAAACTCTTATTTTCTCAGAGATATGGTCGATGTGGGATATTTCAACATAATGTTTCTTGCATTACAAACTCCCTCTAATGGTCAAGTTTGTCCTTTAATTTCTCTTGGTTAATTGTTGATTTGCTAAATTGGCTTGGTTATTTTTTTCTTATATTCTTCTCCATTTGAGACCAACTCGACCACAAGTTCTCTTTATTTGAGACACCTCCACTTCGATTATATGCGCTCCATTAATTCCCAGTTTCATCTTTCAAATTTGGAATTTCAACAGGTACATCACTTTCTTTTCCTGCATGGTCGTCATCATTAACTTCTTCTTCTTCATTATTCTCGTCAGCCTTCAACAAGTTTGCCTTAATTCGAAAATCATCAAAGTTTTTGTGATTTTGATGATTTGGATTATTATCCAGGGGTGGGTTTGCAGCTTCCTCTGATTCACTTTCTTGAACACAAGGCCTCTAACCTCCCTGTTTATTGCTTTTGGCGTCCCTTCTGTTATTTGGCCTGAATGCTTGGAGCAACACCTCATGAAGCTCTTCGAATTGAGTGATTAATTTTGCAAAATGCATTCCGAGCGTCCAGGTCTACTTGAGTACCAATTGACGTAGCACGAATCAATCAAAAGCGTTACCAACGTAGTCCCTTGAAGAATAAGGTCTGGAGTCCACCAGAAGTTCAAGAGAAATTCCAAATGGTTAAAATTGATTAATAATTGAATGATTACAATTGTTACATCTAATGATATAAATAATAAAAGATTACAACCGTTTGGAATAGCGCAAAAGACTTTGATATTTAAAAAAATATATTAATCATTATTAATCAATGAAAACCGAAATATCCAATTTTATTACGGAACTTTAAACTGCGTTTTGGAAGTCTAAAGGATCCTGGATGGCCGAAATCCGTCATATATCTATGCAAATCAGTGAACTTGAACCACGACGTTGTTTTCTTTTTAGAAAGGTATAACATACCCAAATCAGAAATCAGACGCCAAATTTGTTACTTCATGTTGCGTCTCTTAGTTTTGTTAATTTTAAAGGGCTTCATTTTCTTTACATATCCTCATAGAAATTCACCCCAATCTTGTCCCACATCACGATCCTTCTTCCTTAGTTATGGATGTCGACGGAATCCAAGATGGATGGTCAACTGCACGACGTCGTTGGTGAGTTCGACGTATGCTTAACTGTGGATGCGTCACCGAGGCATTGGACGATGCGAGCACCTCAAAAACAACCGGTATAACTGGTATAGGCCCCACAATAGGTGGAGCACTACTAGCCGGACAAGGAGGTGTGGGAGATGCACTAGCACCTGAACGACGATGAGAAGAAATCAAACGAGACATTTGTAAAATTTGTCGACAACAACAATATCAATTTAATTTCTACAATTAAAAAATTATTCATAAAACTAAAATTAAAAAAATTTAAACTAAAACCATAATTTGAAAAAAAAAAGTTAATCATAAAACAAAAATTATAATCCTAAATTTCAAAAAAAAAAAGTTCCTAAATCTAAAAAACTACTATGCAAAAAAGTTAAGATATAAAACTATAATCTAAACCTAAAAAATAGAATCCTAAAACTAAAACCCAAATCAGGAAAAAATTAAGAAATAAATATAAAATCCTAATCTTAATATGCAAAAAAAAAATTATGAAATTAAAAAAAAAACTAAAAATTGCAAAAAATCCTAACCTCTACCCTAAACCTTGATCTGCCACCTACAACCCGCGCCTTCCCCCGCCAGCTACAACCCACACCCACCCTCCCCCGCCACCTTCAAGCAACACCCACCCTCCTCCGCCACCTTCAACCCGCGACCACCCTTCTCCACCACCTACAAACCACGATCTCCAACATGCCACAACCCACCCCCCAATCCTGACCCCAAAACAACCCACCCAATCCCGAACCCCAACAACTCACCTAATCTCGAACCCAATAAACCCAAAATTGAAAATTAACAAACAAAAAAAATCAAGGGTTTAGGAGAAATTACCTTAGGGAGAGAAGGTTGAAGAGACAATGAGAGACAGTGGGAGATAGGACCGGAAAGAGAGTGAGCCAAGGTCAGATGGAGAGAGGGGCGGATAGCAGACGAGTGGAAAAGGAGAGATTTTAAGTCGGACCGTCACATGAGGTAGTATATTATGTGTCCTTATATAAATTGTGAGTTATATGTGTTAAAAGGTTAAAAACTTAAAAATTAAAATTTTCTACCACTTACATAAAAAATACGTGGTGCACCATTCGTATTCGTGTCACAACTAAAAATTTCTCGAAGAAAAAAAAGAAGAAAGAAAGAAGAAAACGAGGCCTGGTTTTAATTTAGGACAAAAGCTTCGCCGCGCAACAATCATTAAAAATTAAAAACTCGCCTATTTTCATGCACTGCTAAAATTTCTATAGTTTGCATGACGAAAGCCTAAATAAAGTTCATCGCCAAAATACTTTTTAGGCGATGACAGAATTATTCATCACCTAAGAAGACATAGAGCAACAAACTAAAAGTTTCGTCGCACAACAAGCAATAAAAAAAATTAAAAACCCGCCCGTACTTTAGGTGATTAGGAGCCGACGAATTCCCAAAAAAATCGTCACTTTAAGATTATTTAGGCGACGAACTTAAAACATTTTGTCACCTAAACATACCTAAAGCAATAAATATCTTGATTTTGTTGTATAAAGTTTTTAATTAATTCTAAGATGTTCTTCTTTTGAGCTTTCAAAACTTATTCATTTCTAAATGAAGTAATTTTCAAGGATAATCTTGAAGGAGAGCTCTAAATATTGAACGGTTCGGATTTTAAAATTGACTTTTCTAAAATGTCAATCACATTATATCACTTATGTAGTTTGAAAATCATTTAACATTGTCGTAACATTTGCAAATGTCAAAGGTACATCTTCAACACTGTGGCCATATGATTAAGCAATCTCATGGTCAAAGTATGAGCTTTAATATGTATAATAAAACCTCATTGATAACATAATAGCGATACCTTAATTTTAACATCACATAATAGTTCCATAACATTTACAAAATTGAAAAGAAACGTTAATTTGTTGTAGAACAGTGGATGTCAACTCAAAGAATTAAATAGTGGATTCTTCTAGTGTATGCTGAAGCTTCCTTCATATGACACATATTTTCTATATAAATACAAACCCCACACAAATCCAAATGAGTGAGAAGTTCACAGAAAAGGAAGAGAGAAAAGAGAGGAAGAGGAAGAGAGAAAAGAGAGGAAGGCGATAGGAGATAATAGAGAGAGTTATCTTTGTACTCTTATTATTTCAGATTATAATGAAAGCACCGCTACTGCCCTGAGGACATACTCCAGTCACACTGACTGTAGAGGAACCTCGTAAATTTTGTGTCTTATTTCTTTTATTCCACTGCACAAACTGTCGATTTTACAACACGTTATCAGCACGAGAAGCTCTCATGTTAGTGGAAAGCACAATGGCATAAATCCGGTGAAGCATTACCCACCTCTCACCTCTGCTAGCCAAAATATCACAAAATAAAAGATATGTCCATTTTCTATCTTTCCCACTGCGCCTTAAGCGCCCTACCGAATTCCAGTGAGAATTGAAATTTACAATGACCAGAAGTCGTCACGAGATGAGAAAAATCGTACTTGACAACTGGTTTACAGAGATTCAGAAGAATCTCATCAAACTTGGAAACCCAGATCGCGTCGTTTTTTACGGATCTCGAGAACTCCCATGAATACTCGGTTGTTTGAGATGGTGATGGCAGAACTGACTCCAGATAGGCCTTCCTCTCTTGTACCTCCATCAACCTCACTGTCATCTATGTTCCTGTATGGAGGTTTTTACTTCGCGATGCCATGTTCTCTGGGCCATGCAAGAAAATCGAAGAAAACACAGGGATGGGAAATGGTATTCCTTATCTGGCCTCTCCCATGGAAAAAGTAACAGTTTGTGGGTTTTTGTAGAAAGAAAAAGGGGCAAAAACAATGGAATGATGCATCATCACATTTTGAAAAGGCATAAGACAAAATAATAAAATAAAAGGAAAAATGATGGTGCATCAGGCACCATGTGGAAACCAAGGAAGAAAACAAATAAAAAAAAAGCAAAAGTTTTTGGAATGATAGCATGTGAATGAATAAAATGAAATAATAACACAAAAAGGGGACAGAAAGGTTGTTGTGACGACAACAAATTTCAAACACATCCGTAAGTAGAATTGTCAAACTCCACCAACCACATCATTACAAGCTCTTTACTGCAATTTATTTATGTGAATGGTGTTGGTTTAAAATCCTTTCACAAGTTCTATTTACTTTAAAGAAATTTATTTACCATGGACAGTTTTACCGCCTACTGCTTTAAGTTTTGATTTATGTGAATGGTGCTGAATTAAAGCTCTTGTCACAAGCTTTATTTACTTAAATGCAATTTATTTACTATGGCTGGAATTACCGCCTATTGCTTTAATTTATTTAGGGTAAATTACATATTAGCCCCTCAGGTTTGAGGTCTATTTGCAATCTTATACAACATCTTTAAAACATTTCACTTTCATACCTCAAGTACTATTTTATTTCAATTTCATACAACCGTTACATTTTCCATCCATGGATCTGTTAAATGCTGACGTGGCTGCCACATATATGCCATGTGGCTGCCAAATGTCTGCCACGTGGCAAATAAAATAATTTTTTAATTTTTTTTTAAAAAACCTGAAATTGGAAGAAAAAAAAAGGACTGAACCCCTGCAACCTAGAAGAAGAAGGAGGAAGAAGAAGAAGAGAAGAAGAAAAAGGAGGAGGAGGAAGAAGAAGAAGAAGAAGAAAAAAAAAAAGAGGAGGAGGAGGAAGAAGAAGAAGAAGAAGAAGAAGAAGAAGAAGAAGAAAAAGAAAAAAAGAAAGGGACCGAACCCAGAAGAAGAAGGAGGAAGAAGAAGAAGAGAAGAAGAAAGAGGAGGAGGAAGAAGAAGAAGAAGAAGAAGAAAAAAGAAAAAAGAAAGGGACCGAACCCAGAAGAGAAGAAGAAATAGGAGGAGGAGGAAGAAGAAGAAAAAAAAAAAAAAGAAAAAAAAAAGGGACCGAACCCAGAAGAGAAGAAGAAAGTGGAGGTGGAGGAAGAAGAAGAAGAAGAAGAAAAAAAAAAAAAAAAGGGACCGAACCAGAAAGAGGAAGAAGAAGAAGAGAAGAAGAAAGAGGAGGAGGAGGAAGAAGAAGAAGAAAAAAAATAATAAATAAATAAATGATCGAAACCCTACAATCCAGAAGAAGAAGGAGGAAGAAGAAGAAGAGAAGAAGCAGGAGGAAGAAGAAGAAGAAGAAGAAGAAGAAAAAAAAAAAAAAAAAGGGGACCGAACCCAGAAGAAGAAGAAGAAGAAGAAAGAGAAAAAAAAAAAAGTGGCAGACAGGTTTTTTTTTTTAAATTAAAAAATTATTTTATTTGCCACGTGGCAGACATTTGGCAGCCACGTCAGCATTTAACAGATCCATGGATGAAAAATGTAACGGTTGTATGAAATTGAAATAAAATAGTACTTGAGGTATGAAAGTGAAATGTTTTAAAGATGTTGTATAAGATTGCAATAGACCTTAAACCTGAGGAGCTACTATGTAATTTACCCATTTATTTATTATACTTATTTTTGTTACGATAAGTACATACTAGACTTGAAGTTCCTTGATCAAATCAAAACCTACAGTTTCTTGATCCTCATCATATAAAATGATTGGACCCGAAATTCCATCACGCAAAAAGATTAGGTATGAAGTCCCTTGATCCTGAAGATTAGGACATGAAATTCTTTGATGAGTATCGTAAGTTTGAAGTGCCGCAGTGCCTCAACATAATTGTAATAAAAGTCATAAGAGTCTCAATCTACAAACTATTAAATAAGGATCAGAAGTTCCTCATGCCCATACTCAAAATGGTTTAGCATAAGCATTTATTAAGCGAATGAAATTGATTACTCGCGCTTTGCTCATGAAAATGAAATTGCTAGTTTTTTACATGGGGACATGTCATTTTACATGATATATTATTAAGTTCGGTTGAGACCAGTTACCAACCATTAATAATTCTCAGTACAACTCGTGTTTGGGCACTAGCCAAACATTATATATTTACGAGTTTTTTGTTGTGTTATCTATGTGCCTGTAAGACTGCCACAACGTACTAAAATAAGGCATCAATACAAGCTGGGAATTTATGTTGAATTTGATCCACCATCTATCATTCAACATTTGGAACCCTTGACTGGGGATATATTTACCGCATGATTTACGGACTATGATTTTGATAAGATAGTTTTCCCGCCATTAGGGGAGAAAATATCATCGTTCCAAAAGAACGATGAGAAAATATCATTCCAGAAGAATGATGAGAAAAGACCGTTCTAGAAGAACGAAGAGAATTTGTCTTATTTTGATTCACGAAGCAATCAACATCAAAATGAAGTAAGAATAATTGAATGATGCAACGATATATCAATCAAATGCCAAATGTATTTAATGATGCAACGAAAGTGATGAAATCACATATATTTGCCGCAAATGTGCCTATAAGAATTGATGTCCTTGTTGGACAAAAATAATGAGGCAGTAAATGATTTATCTGATGCACGTTTGAAGCGTGGCAGACCCTCAGACTAAAAAAGATTCAGTGAAAGAAGAAGAATATGGCACTATTGAACTATTGCATTCTCGAAACATAAATGTTGCATGCCAGAAGTATGACAGTTACCGCATGAATACACGTCCCAAAAAGAACAATCCGCGGACATGGGAATATTGATGTCTCATGCATGAAGCATGATAGACGTATAGGTTCCAATGACTCAATTCCCGGAAGTGGAGATTAAAATCCAAGCTCTATAACACTCAAGAAGAGGTTATGATCCACATTCTTTAAATTACGACTATCCTGAAAGAGATGGTGTAATGCCCTTGAAGAGGCAATGGATATCCAAAGAAATGAAAAGCTTTTATGTATGCGCATGCACATGAGAATATGAGATCATATATTCATGATAACCAATGGTAATTTTAGTTTTTACAAGTAGCTACTAAATTTATCAATTAGCTGTGTTGATATTGAGTCTCGTTTTTTTTCGTCAACAAAATTATTGGCCCAA